TATTAGCATTTTTAATTATAATGTTCAGCTATTATAATAATAAAAAATATGATATTAATATTTAAGGACATGAAAAAAAATATTTATATAATTACAATTCATACCATATAAAATCCAAAAAGTTATCAACTAAGACATCTATTAGCATTTTTAATTATAATGTTCAGCTATTATAATTATATTTAATATCAATTAATTAATAAATTACATTTGAAATCAAATCAATTATCTTACAATTAAGTCCAAGTTTAATTATTTATATTTCTTTATTATATACATTTCATTATTAAAAAATACTCTACTATTAAATAAATCAAAATTTCTTGAACAACATTTCTCAATATCCAAACATAAAATGTAACAAATTTTTCATGGTCCATTTCATGTTGTACAAGAATTCAAGTAAAATTTACATATAAAAAAATATTAAAATGAAAATTCACAATTAATTCATAAAATCTGGATTTCTCAACCACATCTAACTTGCTGTTATGGAACCATATTTCCAATTGAATGTTCTTTTCCCTTTTCATTTCAAATTCTAAACAACATGTAAGATGGAGGAAATGGGTTGTTTTGAGGAAGAAGAGATGGGAAGCTTCATGAACACAAACCCAAAAATTGCATTAAGGTGAAGTTGCTGATATTTGGGTTCATGAACAGAAACCCAAATCTGGGTTTGTGTTCATGAAGACAGACCCAGATCTGGGTTTGTGAAGCCAGATCGAGTTGGGTTCATCAACACAAACTCAGATCTGGGTTCACGATCATGAACCCAAACAAAAAGATGGGAAGAAAGTGAAGAAAAAATCTGAGTAGGGGTGCGAAGTAGACACAAAAACAATGATAATAATAAAATAAAAGGAAAAAGGGTGGAAACGGTTGGAGGAGAGGAAGATAATGGAGAACAGTTACTGAAGTAATGGGGGTGAGGGAGATTAATGGAGAGAAACGGTTGCTAGAATAATGGAGGAGAGGGAAAAGTTAATTGCTACAGTAAAAAAGGAAGTTACGTGATATTAAGGGTTATTTATATGATATTATGAAGGTAATAAATATAATTATAGGGTTATAAACGGAGTTATATATTCGACTCTTCAAATAAAAAATTTAAAATTATTGTGAATTACAGTAAAGAGTCGACTCATGATATCAAATTCGACTCTTCTAGGCACTAGAGTCGACTATACCATAACAAGAGTCAACTTCCAAATTCCAGAGAGCTGCGAAACAATTTGGTTCAGCACAGACTCGACTCTTTACTAAAGAATCGACTCTTAACGATACATATTCGACTCTTAGTTACATAGAGTCGACTCTTCTTACTGCAAGGAAGTAGACCCTTCGACTTTCAAAGTCGACTATTCTTTCTTAGAGTCGACTGTTGTTCTTTAAAGAGTCGACACTCAAAAGTTATAGTCGACTCTTGGGCGCGGGATTTGATTAAAAGCGCGACAGTTCCAGTTTTCCCCATTTTCCCTCTCTCTCCTATTCGACTCTCTGAGAAACCTAACCTTAAAAACAGCCAAAATCCTCCTAAATTTCACAAAAATAACTCACCCAAACACAAACCCACATCATTTTCGGCCCATTACTCTAAGAATCGTGCATTATCTCCCAAAATGGTGAGGACTAAAAGAGTTGTAAAGAAACCAAGGGGGCAGGCGGCAAGCACTTCTGGAAGGCGTCGAAGGGCTGAGCAAAGTCCCGAGGAGAGCGGTGAAAGCACAGACACCGAGCAGGTATTTCAACCTGATAACCCTCGGAACTTTGTATCTGCAAATGCTATGGATATATATAGAAATTTAGGAAATAGGAATGTCATTTATGGGTTTAGAGTAGTTTTGGAAGATATATACAAAGGGGGGTTGCATGTAAGAGAAATTTTAGATGCAATGGGATGGACTGAATTAGTAACTAGAAAGGTGAGGGTTTACCCGCAATTGATTAAGATTTTTTATGCAAATTTGAGTGACTCGAAGGATGGAGGGTATAAAACAACGGTTCTTAGGAAGACTTTTGAATTTGATGCTGAAACCATAAATGATGTTTTACATTTGCCAAATGAGGGAGCCAAGGAATTGCATGCATTTACAGAGGAATCATCAAAGAAATCTATCATGGGCGATGAGTGGAATGAGGGACAAACATTAAGCATTCACCACTTGAATTT